GTGAGCCTATTCAATTAAGTAGAACATTAGAAAAATTAATCTTCTCATTCGAACTTTTTTTTTTTAAAATATAGATTTATTTATGCATACAAGAACTGGGGTACAGGCCAGAGGTGCAGGAGGTGAGATTTACCAGAGACAGAATGGGGAGAACAAGCAGGCTGACTGAAATACACTGTTGAGGGGAGCAGAGAAGTCTGCCCTCCCTGGCCAGGGAAGGAACTCGTGCTGCAGTGGCTGTGGACAGCTTCACAGTGCTGCGCTTTAACCCACTGCACCACCAGGGAGGGGCCAACCATTTTTATTTTTCAATCTGTCTTCATGAAATTTAAAATCAAATGTGGGGTCTCTCTGGTGGTATAAGGGGTTAAGTTGCAGCACTATGAAGCTATCCCTGGCCAGGGAGATGATCCACATGGCACAGCAGACCTCTCCTGTCTCGCCCACTGCTCCTCTCAGCAGTATATTTCAGTTGATCTCCTCCCGGTGGATCCTCTCAACTCCTGCACCTCTGGCCTGTACCCCAGTTCTGGTATGCATAAATAAATCTATCTTTAAAAAATAAAAGAAAAAACAAAATGGGAAAATTAATTTTTATAATGTCCTACTTAATCCAATAGGTTCACATTAGGTTAGCATTTAGCATAATTAATAGCTTCAGTTCAAATAAATGGTTCACACTATATTTCTACTGGACAGTGTTGGTACAGACCAGGGGTTTGCCAGTCCAGCCACCTAGTTTTATAGTTTTACTGGAACACAGTCAAACCTATTTGTAGTATTTTTTTTTTTCTATGACTGCTTTTTTTTAAATCAAAACAGCAAAGTAGTTGAGACAAAGACTATAAGGCCTGGAAGTCTAAAATACTTGTTACTCAGACCTTCCTGAAAAAGTTAACCTCTGGTATAAATGAGATTTTAATTTATTCTGAATTCCTCAATTATGTCACTAGCACCACTAATACTTTTCCTATTTCAGTGATTCTCAACTCTTATCATCATCAGAATCATGTAAGGAAGTCTTTTAAAAAGATGCCTGGCACTTAGTATTTTTCTATTAGTTTGGGGTAGGGGGTAAGCAAAGGCCTTGTTTTGGAAGTCCTTCAAGTAACTCTACTATAAGCCAGGTTGAGAACCAGAGCTTTATCAATTTTTAGATTCAGATGATTCTTTTTTTT